TTTGGAACGGCGAAGAGAACGTCTTGGCAAGAGGTTGTCCGAAATTTCTGTGAACGCTCGTACGCTGCAAAGATATCGCTTTGACCTTCAGAAAGCTTTCCAAAGTTGGAACTTCTGCCAAGAAAGTTGTTCCAGCATTTCTTCCTTTGGTTATGACCTGGCGGAATACATAGACATAGAATTTGCGTTTGAGGAGGGGGAGACCCTCTCCCACGCAGGGAATGTGTTGTCTGCGTTTCAACTTTACCTTCCAATGCTGCGCAAGAAACTGGTGTATTCATGGCATATCTTCGTCTTTGGGCTGTGGAAGCGCTTCGAAAAGTCCTGGCAGGCTACCCCTGTCACTCCGGAGTTGCTCCATGGAATGCTGGGTTTCTGTCTTGAAAGTGGTCGTCTATGTATCATGCTGCTTCTAGAAATCGGATTTCACGGTTTGTGACAGGAGAGCTCCTACAGTTGAGGCTGAAGGATCTTCAAGAGGATGCTAGCACTATCCTGGTTTTTCTCGGTGAGATCTCCTAAGACCGGAGGCCGATTTCGACGCGACGAACATGTCGTAATTCGAAGTCAGACTTTGTTCTTGACCCTCCCGGCTTTTAGGAAGGTCAGGAGTGATGTGTCGCAGAGGATTTGGCTTGGTTCTAATGAATCTTTTCGGAGTGCGTTTCATGAGATCTTGGTTCAGTTTCGGATTGACCACATGGGCTACAGGCCTTATTCTTTAAGAAGAGGGGTTGCCACTGCTCTGTTTAGGAGTGGCACCCCTATGGAAAGCAGTCTCATTCGTGGTCGCTGGGCTTCTACCCAGAGTGCTCGCAGCTACATCAGCGACGGCTTGTCCCAAGTCGCCTCGATTTCTTTCAGTTCCCACACTAGGAGACTTCTTGCATTGTACAGTGCTAAACTGCCTTCGCCTAAGGCGAGCGTGTGATGCGATCACCCGGGAAGCATGGAGAGAGATGAGATTTTAACACGTCTTGAAATAAAGCGGGAGTTTTCTGATGGCCATCAGAGCAGGACAAGGAGGCTGCCACATGCCTTCAGGTGGAAATAATGCTGCTTCAGACTTGAGCTTTGCCACATAAGCTCAAACTGAGAATTCTTCAGACGTGTCAAGGAGATGACTTCTTTGTTTGTATAGAGTGAGGACGTGATCCTCGAATTCAACACTTGCAAGCTCACGGCCGGAAAACACTCATCGTGCGAGAGAGAATACCAGCGCAGAGAAATGTACCTGTTATCCTGTGGGAGGTCTTGCTCGGGAGGCTGACCTGCCGCTTTCCGTTGGAGATTGACTACCCTCTGTTGTCGTGGCTACTGCTGGTCTGCATCTATTACTGAAGAAACCGCTTCCTTGTGTCTAGCGCGGAGTATCTCCAAGCAAGCCTCCTAACCTTTCCTAACCAACACGTTTCCGTCACTTTGCGTGTTCCTCCAATAAACCAACAGCAGAAGCCAAATGGCGGCGGTAGTGGGGGACCATATCCACCAAAAGCAGTGAAGGCTGTCCCACCAGGAAGAGTTGCTGCAGCTTACTGAATATGGCTGAAACAACTATGTGCATTATGTACATATATATATATTGTAGAATACAGCTGACCCAGCCTTTAGCCATGTCCACGCGACCATTGCCGCACGCGGAAAAAGTCCAGTGCGTGCTTGTCCTGGCTTTTGATTCCCCCTCCTCAGGTTCATCCATCAAAGTATCACATGCAATCAAATTTTCAAACTTGAAACACAATAAATTTTCAAAACCTAATGAATCTAGTGCCTTTTTGTGGTGAAATGACATTGGAAGCACAGTGAAGAACACGTCGGCAGGTGGAGTCTACATCTTCCAGCTGGAAGTCTTGGTTTGAGCAATGTTGCCAGCCTTGCCCACAGTGGCGCACACTTCCGTCGCTGATCCGAGAGAAGTGGACCCTGACATGCTGTTTGCGAGAGAGGCTTCGGGAGATTCTGGCAGACTTCGAGGGGATGACCATCGAGAGCCTTCAACAAGCAGAGATCACTGTTGCAGATGCGCGTTTGCTGAACCAACTCGCCCAACATGCGAAAATTTACGCCTTTGTGGCTCAGCATGTCAATTGCCCCAAGGTCTTTCACCCCCTTAGAGATATCTGAGGCCACGAAAATGGTTGCTTTCCGGCCATTTGAGTGTGTCTTAAAATAGGATCCACTTCGACCCGCCCCTGGCAAAACGGGAAGACGGGACATCTGGACCAGTTTATACCGTCCTTAGTCAGTCGGAAATGTTTCCGGTCGAACTTGGTGAAACCATGGGAGTTTGCCCAGGTGAAACTATTGCTTGTTTTTTCTGTAGAACCCTTGTTTCGCCTCCTCGTAACTGGCTGGTGGCCGCACTAAAAACGTTGCTTTCGCGTCCCTAGGGCTCCAACCTTATCCTCAGAAGGTGGTTAGACCTCCTGGCACCCACCCCAACCATTTTCTCCGGAGGTAGTTGGAACCCTATAGGGGGTTATAATGCTGGCGCATTCCGAGGTGGAACTTTGTGAAATCACGGTTCCTTTGATGTACATGCTGGTGATTGGAACACTGCACAGCGACACTTTCGGCTACAACCGGGAGCATTTCTTCCTTTTTGACCAACTGGGCGATAGCTATGATGATGCAATGTTGGGTACCTCAAATGCTTTTGTGTTTTGTAGAGATGGATTACTTTCAGTTCAGAGGTCAAGTTCCCAACATACAAAACTGGATTGAGTTATGTCCAGCCATGTGCCCTTGCAAGTGAGGTAATGGTTTGAATTTTGTCATTGAGATTATCGTCTTTGTGGCAGCCCAAATCATATTTTTGAGATCCATTGGATTTGACATCTTGTACTTTGCAGGACCTGTTGCGGGCCACTTCACAACTTGATACACTTTGTATGCTGTTGTTTCCTTGGCATGTGGCTTTTGAAGCTGATGGCATGCAGCTGAAACCGAGAACTGCACCCGGAACTGCAATCCTTGAGATAGGATCTACCAAGAGGATACGTGGGACAATTATCCACATCAACTGTCCCCCTCAAGGACATTCACTTTGGTAGGCCTTGAAGGTGATGAACCGGTAAGCCGGTAAGCTAGTCAAGCCAGCAATTTTTTACTAACCATCTCTCATGTATCCGGTCGAAACACCACCGTCCTCACATCGCTGTTCAACATTTTGCAGGCCCGGCCCATCGGGAACTGAAAACTGGTGAGCAGACATTGCTGTTTGTTGCTGGACACAGCAGTCGTTTTCAAGTGACAGATTAATATGTGTAAGTGGATTATCCCCCTAGGATGCCTGCGGGTCAAAAAAAACAGATGCTACATTGTATTATATAACTATTTTTATTGGTCTTCTCATTGTGTCATCAATATATATATATATGCACAATTAGATATATATATATATATGCACATATTGTAATATATGCATAGGTTGGCACGTGGGGACAAATGAGAGCAGGGAAGCACAAGAAGCAAAGTGTAGCCTACCGTGTCTAGGTTTGCATATACATCCAACGGAAGCTGCGTGCATGTATTTATTGATTAGTATTACTTGAGGCAGATTTGTTCTCCACTACCCATGCCATTCTGCCACAGTGCCACAGCGCGGATCGAGCTGTACATATCTCGACCTCGAGACAAACTCTTCCAAACAGTGTGACATGAGCCCACCGGGTGACCCATGGAGCACTTGGGATTTGAGGATTGGATGTCGTGTTTGTTGCACTCTGACGAACACATCACATGCAAGTGGATGAAATTGTCCCGTGGAAGACTCATCCCTCCCACCTATCAAAAGAAAACACGCGGCTCCCTCGTCTTTGTTAATAAGGGGACCCGCAAAGACATGGACACCTGGGAAGAGCTTCAAAAACGAAAAGTCACCAAGGAAAGCTTTATATAAAACCCTTTTAAAGCTCGGATCAAAAATTGAAACACATCCAGATTGAACTATGTTTGTAGTTTAGTAGTAGTTTAAGAAGACGGTAAATCAACAAAACTGGTGTAAACTGTAAACTGATGTAAACTGTGTTTGGCGGCCTCCAACATGAGTTTCTTTGTTTGGGCCATGCTCTTTCAAAGGTTCTCAGGGTCGCAAACTGACGCATCGAAGAGGTTGCCAAGCCTTGTCACGGACACTCCGTGCGCAGGAGTGGTTCTGAGGGAGAACTATTCGTATTGGGATCCTGGGCTTGGTTGATGATCTGTTTTTGTATGGGGAGCCGGAATGTGCTGGGTTAGTCCAAATCGGAGCAGTTGCTGAAGGTTGATAGCTGCTGATAGCTAACCTTCCCAGATTCCTAGATATTCCTAGAGATCACCAGCCGAGGTGTTGGCATTGGCATCTTGTTGTTGCGCTTGGCTTTCCGTTCTGGTGAAGCATGGCGGGCACAATTTAGATATTTTTAAGGATTGGCTCTCTTTTTAAGGTCAGAAACACATGTTCTCAGGGAGCCTTTCAAACGTGAGATAAATTTTCGACTTGCATCAAGCGATCAGATGTGGGTCTCATAAGTTCGTAGTGCACTCTGAAAGAAAAATCATAAGAAGAGGACGGAAAACCAATTGCAATTGCCCTTATAGGCTCTAGATCACTCAAGATATTTCTATGCAGAAAAAGGAAAACCTGGCGGTGTTCATCCCTCCTCTTACTTTGATGCTTTGACGCACCCACAGTGCCGTGTCTGCATAGCTTGCTGTCGCACCCCGGATGAGGGGGGGCGATTGTGCTTGCAGCTGGTGATGTTGACTGATAGGTCTTGACTAGCCGGACTAAAACAGACCAAGCACCTGCCATGCCCCATAATTCTTCCAGTTTTGGAGTTCAACTTCCAGCTTTGGAGCTCTGTTTTGTGTGAGGCAGCTCAACATTGGGCACATTTGGGCACCATTATGCCGAAAGTTCTAGATGTTCGCATGCCCAGAGCTGAAAGTTTTGGGACAAAAGCGGTCCAGCCTCGAAAAGTTGGAGCTCAGGGGACGAAGGAGGATGAAACAGAGGTGGAGGGTCACTAGTTGGCAGCCGTGACATGATTCTTCTGGTCAGGTCTATACTTTGGGGGCAAGCACAGATGATGTGGACGAGGTAGGGTCCCTCCCTCCCAAGAAATGTTTGAACGTGCAAAACATTTTTCACAGTTATGTCAAGCTTCTGCCGGCCGCGCAGTGTTGCCATGGCTGCCTTTTTGTCTGTCCTGCCTAAGCAGCAGCAGAATAGAACTCAGCCAACGCAGGAACTTGATGATCTTGCACAGACCCATAGGAGACGTGTTGCCTTCGAAGCTTTGTTTGAGTTTTTGTTCGCTTCCCCATTCCCCACCTATCGCAATTAGGACACACTGCATCAAGAAAGTAAAACCTTCATCATACAATCATTTGGAGTCATTTCGTTGAAACACGCGCAATCCATGCTCTTCCAGAAGTAGCACCCGTTTTCCTTTGCATTGCCTCTTCAGGATTTCCAAAGCTATGCCTTCCGAGCAAGGCAGTGATGAGTACACCTTAAGGGTTTCTCATCGACCTCATTTCAAGAGCACTGAGATGCCAGATGGAGGCACTTCTCAACCACATGATCCTGCGGCTCCGACTCACAATGCCCAGCAGGCGCAGGGCAGCTTGCCAGGGATGATCAAGACTCTCTCAGAAAGTGATCTTCTGGCTGTGCTTCCGCACGTGAAAGGCAGCGCTTCACGGGGTGCTTCGCCCTCCAGCGAAAAGTCTGAAGAGGAAGGGCCAGGCCACCAGATGGCTATTGGCCAGGCGCAAAGCAGCTTTCCATTCATCTCTCCACCACCTAGCCCGCTGGAGGGTTCAAATCCAAGCCGGCCAGGAAGCTCACCATGTGCTGTCAGAACCCTCTCCGAATCAGGCCTTGTTGATCTCATGCCTCAAATCTACGGCATGGAGCTTGCCAAAGCTGGTCTGCCAAGTCTGCCGGACCCTGATGGACCTTCAGCCATCCCAGGGTTTGTCACTCTCAGAATTGACGAGGAGAAGGAAGACGAGGAGAATGAGGAGAATATTGACGCAGAGACCTGCCAGAGGACTGGAGAAGCTTCGCTGGGAGTTACAGTCTTGAAGGCGACAGATCTCAGCCAAGCTGCGGACTACAGGATAGTTCTTCAACAGGTGGAAGAAGAGCATATAGTGGGCGATGAGGATGTGCAACAGGATTATGGCAGACTCACACCTATCCCTGAATCCAAAGGAGGCTCAACGTCGATTGATGACCCAGCCGACAGCAAGGCCAGCCACATTGAAGACAGCAAAAGGCAGGGGATATGCTTTGTTGGGGTGTTACAGTCATGATTGTATAGGATATCGTGGACCGCTTTTTAGATGGGCTTTATATAATCTATATAATCCAAACCCACCTTGAAGCAATGGCATCCAACCTAGTAGCAATGGCCCCCAACCTTGAAGCAATGGCCTCCAACCTAGTAGCAATGGTCTCCAACCTAACAGCAATCGCCTCCAACCTAAGAGCGATGTTCGTAAGGTCCTCCAATGGCAGCAAACGGACCACCAGCCGCACCAGCCGGCCATCCGTCGCAGCATCTCGGAGCCTTGGCAATGCGGCACGGCGACGCACGAGTGTACGGCACTCGGTGGTCCTACACCAGCAGAGTCGAAACAAAGGGTGGATTGAAGGCGCGGGAAAGGTCGTTATGTCGTGGGCCCCCGAGCTTTCACCCCGTTCGAATGGAGTGATCAGGCCACAGTGGAGTGATGAGGAGTAGCCTGGGCATGGCATGGCCATGGCTGCTATTACATTGTGATTGCTCATTAAATGATTGGAACTTAGACACTACGTGTTAATTCTGACATTAGTTGTTCTTTGCTTGGCAGGTACACATCAGACGTTGAAAAAGAACAGCTGCTCCATTTAGTAGATGATTCGCATTGGACGACGCGACCCCCAGCTCTGCACCCCACAAAGTAGCTGTGTGTTCTATTTGTTTTATTAGTACGTATAGCTCTTATATAGAACCCATATAGAGCCCAAAATAGATGGCGAGTAGATCCGCGCTAGGAATGCAATTGAAAACGTTTCTATCTGTTTGTTCTGTGAAAGACATGTGCTCCTCAAACATTTGCTCATGACATGTGTTCCTTTCTCAGCGTTTTCGATGCCAAGAAACCCATAAGAAATCCATATTTTCATGTGTGAATTTCCCGTGTAGGACTTCCATATGTGATTTATTTTTTGTGGTTTATGTTTTCCTGCCTACAGTTCAAGGTCAATGGCGGACCATGCTAGGAACATGATCCTGTTTGCTTAAGCGGGTGTGATCAAATCACTGCATTAAACCGTTTGAAACCTTGTTGGGAGTCGAGTGAAAGCAGTATTTTCCCACTGCCGGCTTGAGCACCCAAACAGAACCCAACCAAAAGCGATGAACACCCAAACGAGACCGAGTGCCCCCTCCGGACGTTCGACCAGGGGCAGTGTGGGGACACTCCATACCCAGACACGTGTGATCATACCCAGACACTCCATGAGACTGGCATATTACATTGACCCCAGGTCAATCACCCCAATGAAGATAAATATGCCAGTCTCATGGAGTGTTTGGGATCCTTGCGAGGGGACTGTTCTTCCTTGCTCGACATGAAAAAGTAATATATATATATATATTATTGTAGACCACAGTGGTCTGTGTTGTCCGAATTGACCTAGTGAGACAAGTGATGCCTTGACTGTTTGTTTTCCTGTTGCTTTGAATATGCCAAGTCGAAATTGTATCCTGCTGAAGCAAAACCCAATCAGACAGAGGTGTGGTTTTGTGTGATGTTCTGTATTGTAGCTTTGATGGCTTGTTTGGCCTTTTGCTGCCCTCGTACTGATTGTGTCGTTGTTTTTGGTTTGATGCTTCATGCTTGCTGATGTTTCAATAATCTGACAAACTCAACTCCATGACAATGACATGTAGTTCTGAAGATAGACTCCAAAGGGGGTGCCTGTGTGTCTTCCTCAGGACTGCTCATATCAACAGCTTTGCTATTTCTAAGACCCTGCAGACGCAAACCGGACTTACACAATTTGTTGAAGCAGAGTCTCAGCGACATTGGAAGGGTTTGGGAGGAATGGGATGTTATGAGACTATATGGTACCTAAAATCCTGAGGTTTCATACTTTGAACCGATCCTTGTGTGGGCTCCGGCCTAGGTTGAGCCTTCAATGCAAGTTTATTTGGAGGCCCATTGCAGCAATGGGCCAAGCAAGATGGACCGGCAGGTGATCTTGTGGAAAATCCTGGGCAGCTTCCTGTTTCTCCTACCAGCCCTGTCTTTTGGTATTCTCTTGCTGCCTCTCGCTCGAGTTGAAGCGGGCTTCCAAGAGAATTGGGTCTTCAATTACTTTGCGCATCCCTTCCTGAACTATGTCACCGCTCGCGCCGAAACTGAGATCGGTATTCTCCGTCCACTGGCTCCAGCAGATAGGGTTCGTGTCAACTGGATCATCACGTGCTTTCCACTGGTGGGCTGCCTTGCGCCTTGGTTCCTCAACTGAGCTGATGATGCTGATGTGTTTGCCTGAGTCCAAGGATTTTTAGCGAAAAAAACGCTTCTGAACAGGCTCAAAAAGGTCCAGGCGTCAGACTAGCGTGAAGAAGCTCGAGTAAGCTACGGAAGCTCGAGCCATACGGTGGACTGTCTTCCCTTCGCCATGCGAGTGCATCTGCGGGCTTTTGAATGTTGGGTAATGTAATATTCGGAGATGCACTCACGTTCCCAGGGTCCCAAAAAAAATCAACACAATGTTGTTCCATGCTTTTGCTGTGCCTTGTTGATTCCACCAAGAATACACTCTGCTGACTGGTGGAAAATATAAATCTATAATGCATTGCTAAGCTGCAGTGAGTTTGTTCACATGCCCAAAACTTTGCGTTTTCTTTGTTTGTCCTGACGGGCAGCGTTGTTTGAGACCTGCTTCCTTGTGCACTTGATCGGCAGCATCGTGGGCATCTTCCCAATTCCTTTCGTCGTTTCAACCTCCTGTTTGCCAAGCATGTGGTTTGCGATGTTCACAGCCAGTGACTTGGACAGCCCAAGACTTTTGTGATTTGCTATATGAAGATATAAAGTTCCGTTGCAACTTGCAGTGCTCATACGCATTCGACACGTTTTTCAAGATTTCGATCCCATAGAATCATGTTATTCAGTGCGACGCGACGTCAAGTTGAAGCAACGAGGGAATATTCAGGCCGAGATGTGTACTTGACGACATCAAGAACTGAACCCCCAAAATACGTAGAGACGGTCGAGTGGCAGAAATCTTCCAGTGAGCTAGCTGGCTGGCAAGCCTCATTCTGTCCTCACAGGTTATATATGTTTACATATATATATATATAGGTATGCCTTGCTTAAGGCCCACAGAAGTCCTTGAAGGAATCATGCATACGTGGATGGCAGCATTTGTTTGGTGTTCGGGGTTCGATGATTATGATCCTTTTGGGCGCGTTCGCTTTCTCCACGTAACCAGCACATGATTTCAGGGAGGGCAGCGGCAGCGTTGCTTGCTTTGCGCGTCCATTCGTTTTCTCTCGGGTGAAGGACCCTTCAGGTGTACAAGAAATCGATGGAATATACTTGCTATGGGGTGTGTGATCCAGTAAACCACTCGGCCGCCGTCGAAAGATGATCTTTATATAATATATATCATTATATATTGTCCTAATACCTGTAACAGACAGTAAACAATAACAAATATCACTATTTTTGAACGAGGCCTTTACTAACCATCATCATCCACTGTTATAGGTAATAGATAGACCCAAATTATATATCATAATTTTGGAGATGTCGGCCCTCACCTCACCATCATTCACTGGGGGTCCTGGATGGTCATGGGATATATCCAAGAAGCATCGCAACCATCGGAGCATCGATGTCACCGGAGCTCTGGTTGTCGTACGTCAGGTTACTTCGTCCCGAAGGACCTCATGACATCCAGCATGCGTGGCTTCATTTGGTTTGCGAATATCGAAGTGGTTCTGTGGGGCGTGCAATTCATTGTGCTTACAGCCTGGCTCCTGATTTTCCCAAGCCTGGCAGTTTCACTTCAGTTGATGAGCAGTTTTGTCAAGGCCTCAGAGATGAAGAGAAGACGCACATGTGTTGCATGTGGCTTAAGTGGTCGAAGGTGGTCTTTTGCCACATCCAGGAGGTGTTTGGAGCATACCTTTTGATACCTGACCTAGCTTACCTAGCTCACGCGGCGTCTGACAGAGCAGTTCTTTTGAAAGAACGCATGGTTATCATGGTGCGCACGGTTTCAGAATTGATTCTTTTGGCGCCAAGGCAGTGACAGGTATGCTCTCTGGAGCTGGCTGGGTTGTGAACAAGATCGGAGAGCATTATTTGGGTGTCCCAAAGTGGCCTGACGCTCCAGAATGGAAAAACAAAAACTCTCATAGCAATGGCCTCCAACCTAGTAGCGATATGTAGCGATGGCCTCCAACCTAGCAGCCATGGGTGTTTGGGTGTTCCAAAGTGGCCTGCCACTGAGGGTGAAGAGGAATTAGGAATAAACAACAAATTTGTATTAGAGCTCTTGGGGCAGCTGATGTTTCCATTGAAGAATGAATGCTACTGTATATAGTAGTTACACTAAATATCACTTCACTTCACCTATATATGTTCAATCATTTATCATGCTTCATTGATCTTCGTTGCATTGCTTCTTTTGACGTGCAAGAACCTGATGGAAAAAATCAAACGGCATTGCATTTTTCATGCTGGCATATGCTGGCTTTTCTGCTGATTCAAATTGATCATGACAGGAGTTTGCCTTTCCTTTCCAATCTCGAACGTCCACATCAACAGGAACCATGTTTCTTTTTTGAAGGGGCTTTCAACGGGAAGGGGAAGACTCTTCGACTGTCGCGCTCGTTGGTCTCCCATTCGGGTCGTTTTTTTGCACTCATTCCTGGGCTTGGGTTTTGAAGCAGTTTCTCCATGTTCCTCCAGATGAGGACGTCGTCATGTGTTCCTCTGAGGTACATCACGGACGAGGCAAAGGTGATGATTCTCTTCATTGCTTTTCTCTTCTCCGCAGCTCTTTTGTCCAGTGCGAAGAACGGGCTGGTCCTTTGTGTGATGCTCATCCTTGATGCCGGACAGAACGCGACCGGAAAACCCCGAATGTATATAGAGGCAAAAAGGCGGACAAACAAAGGGTGTTCTGTCAAAGAGGCTTTGTTGTCCTGCTTCAGTTCAAAGCATGGGCAAGTGTGCTGCAAGGGGTGTCAAATCAATGTGAAGGTCATAATCATGCCATGCCCCAATATTTGTTGCAGGAAAAGCTGTGGCGGTGGCAATGAATATGTGCAAACAACTCCTAACAACCTTTGAGCAGGGAGACAGGCAGCAGGCTCCTTGACAAGGCTGACAAGATCATCCATGTTTGGATTGAGGCATGGTTCGCCGCGTTGAAACTTGAGAGTCTGCAATCAAGGTGTCAGTTGGTCATGAAGGGATACTGAAATTCAATGATGATGAACGGCCCTTCAATACCAGCCCTTCGCAACCACAAGCACAAGTTTCAGCATGGTGCCAGCATGTAGCAGCAATTTGATTTTGATTGTTTTACCCACCTGCCAGGTGAGGGTTGCTAGATTTTATCAGAGATCTTCTTCTCCTCCTTTTCCTCTCCTCCTCTCCTTGACTACCGCACCTCAACTACCAGCTCCAGATCGCAATGGGCTGTACCGGACCTCCACTGCCAGTGCATCATCGTAGTGGGCTCCACCGGACCTCAACTGCGTGCGCCAGATCGCAGTGGGCACTATACCGGACCTCAACAGCAAGCGTCAGAGCGCAGTGGGCACTATACCGGACCCCACACAAGCGCCAGATCGGAACGAGCACTGCCGGACCTCAAACGCAAGTGCCAGATCGCAGTGGGCACTACCGGACCTCAACTGCAAGTGCCAGATCGCAGTAGGCACTACCGGACCTCAAGCGCAAGTGCCAGAGTGCAGTGGGACCTCAACAGCAAGCACCAGATCGCAGTGGGCGACCTCAACGGCAAGTGCATGATCGCAGTGGGCACTGCCAGACCTCAAATGCAAGCGCCAGATCGCAGTGGGCACTCCCGGGCCTCAACGACTCAACGGCAAGCGCCAGATCGCAGTGGGCACTACCGGACATCCACTGCAACATCAAAAACCACAAAGCTCGTGGGGAAGCGGGTGACCCTGGCAGGATGCTCCTCACCATGGAATGAAAAGAAAAGATTGACATGTCATGGTGGGGATCACTCGTATTAAAGTATTTCGTACATGAGCATTGTTGGAATGTGTAGATGTCTTGCTGATTGGTCTTTTCCGGAAGAGTTCCTGACTTTAGACTTTTGGGGGGGTAAATCTAAAGGCACGCACCGCAACGGATGAAAACCAGTCATGGAAAGTTTGAAGGGTTCTCCTTCAAGTGGTCTGGTGCATGCCCATTGACTGTGTTGCAAATGCAAGGGTGTTGCGCGACAGGCTCTCTTTTCTTCATCATTTTCAGAATGTTTTCAGCCCGTGTTTGGTGATGTTGCAATTTCTTGCTCGGGTCACGCGAATAGTGAGCATCGCTTCGAAGATGTGCATCTTTTGGCACCACGAGTCGCTCGGAAATCTGACCTCCTGCAGACCCCAAACCTGTGATTTCTGTTCACGGGCTAGCACGGGTTGAGCACGGGTAAATCATGGGTTCTATCTCACGCCCGAACTTTTCCCAGAAAAATTGAACAAAGTGTCAGTCAACATAGTAATGGAACACAAGGGAGCGAAACAGGTCAGTCGGATAACCACCTCGCCTGTTCGCTCAGCAAGTACAGGGATACCATAAGTTATGCATCAGCAGACTATGTCGGTTACCACTAGCTAGGCTACCACTATGTCGGCTACCTCTAGGTGGGGTACCACTATGACGGCTACCACTATGTCGCCTACCACAATAGGTGGGCTACCATTAGGTGGGCTACCACTAGGTGGGCTGGCAAAATATATAGGGTTTCCCAGGAAACCAAGTGTTTGTCTATTTGTCTACTTTACAAGCGTGCATGCAGACCCGAAGGAAAGTCAAGGTTCAGGCTGGCAGGGTATATTAGATTCTCTTGTATATGTATATAGTTGCAGACGGTGTTTCCACACCAGTATTTTGGGCAATAGTATTCTTGGCTATACAGCATTCCAGGAAAGGAACTCTTCTCGGCTCGTTGCCCGACCTACTATGTAGCAAATCACATATATATATATATCCAGCTATACGACCTGGGCAAGAAAGACTTTCCCTTGGGGAGAGATGTGATTACAATTTTTTTGACCCAACAGGGAAAAACTGGGTAGGTCGCGGTCTGGGCAGACCATGCCGCCCTCCACTCAGGTTGACTTGCTTGCGTTTGACTGGAAGTCTTGGTTTTGCCCATGCTGCCAGCATTGCCCACATTGGCGCGCACTCCCATCGCTGCTCCGAGAGAGGTGGATCCTGGCATTCCGTGTGCAAGAGAGGCTTCGGCAAATCCTGGCAGACTTCCGCGGGAAGACGATCGAGAGCCTTGAACAAGCAGAGATTGTTGCTGCAGATGCACGTTTGCTGAACCAGCTCGCTCGGTACGCGAAGCTTTTTGCTTTGGTCGCTCAGACACGTTTACTGTTGGCCGCTCTTTTTCGCATGTGTTTTTTGCTTCCTCGTACCTGGCTGGTGGCCGCGCTCAGAAAGTCGCTTTTCCGTTAAAACGTGGCTGGAAACATTCCGACATTCCGAGGTGGAGCTTTGTGAAATCATGGTTCCTTTGATGTACATGCTGGTGATTGGAACACTGCACAGCGACACTTTCGGCTACAATCGGGAGCGCTTCTTCCTTTTTGACCAGTTGGGTGATAGCTATGATGATGCGATGTTGAGCACCTCATGCTGACACATTGAACAAATAATGGAATAAGATTTCAGGTTCGAATGTTTCGTCATACAGGTCATTGCAGGTCCGTTTTTCAGGTTGAGTTCAAGGTGTACCAAAGATAATTTATCACGAGAGGATAAGGATATGATGGTTGTTTGATTCAACATACTATGTCAATGGAACTGCAGCCATAGGCATATAGTATGTACAGACAGTATATCATGTGCACCATTGCCTGATGCGCGAACCTGGCGGCGGGCGCACCACTCAAGACCCACACTGCCACGTGAGCCTACAGCTTAATCTTCACCTTGGTCACACAGCGAACTTGTGGGGCAAAAGGAATGCGTAAAATTACCGTCAAATGAATGAACATTCGTTGGCGCAGACGCGTGGAGTGGAGGGACCGACCCTTCGAGATCCGACCTGAGATCGATCTGCGAGGAACGGCTCAGCGCGATGGCTGCGGGGAAGCGAGGAACTTGTGTACTGTGTATGTTCTCCTGGACATGAAGGATGAAATCCGCAAAGCACTTCCGCCATTGTATGAGGCTCGAGCACTACAAATGCAGGTGCTCCAGAATATGTTCTGGATAATTAATGTGTTCTATATGGATAATACTGTGCTTTTCCCACAAGTTTGGCCGTTTGTGTTGCGTATGTGAGTGCATTCGGGTTCGTGGGTTTCTATCAGATATACAGTATTAAAAATATATATATATATGTATATATGCCATTTTTCCCCTTGACTCGTGAGGTAATATCTTGAGCTTTGCCATTGAACTCACAGTTTTCGTGGCAATCCAGATCACCTTTCTCAGATGCATTGGATTCGACCTCCTTTATTTTGCAGGACTCCCGCGCCAAAGCCTTTTCGGAACCCTTTTCCGGATTCTTTTTCTGGTGTGCAGCCTTATAAGTTCACCTTCAAAACACAAGGCCTATACCTCAACAAAGAAATTGCCCATATGCCGCATCTTTAGACTGGTGCTCACAGCAAAGTGAGGTGTTGATGTGATTGTTTGAAGAACATTTTAGGTTTACCACATCCCACCAACGAACCGTGCAAATTCCGAGACAGGAGTCGTTCTTGAAGAGAACTATTCCTATTGGGTCCTTTCCCTTGCCTCTTGCTGTTGCGCTTGGCTGACCGTTCTGGTGAAACATGGAGGCCATAATTTGGATACGATTAGAAGCTGGCTCGTCTCTTAGGAAGAGGATCCCAATTTTTCAACTGGACCCGTTCAGCACCGTGTAATTATGGAACACTCTGTCTTGAGAGTGCTGAGATTGTGGTGGAAGTATCATTCCGTGGATGTTGTAGATTGCATAGATCTCCCACCCAAGCATCTCACAGTTCCATTCAATCAGATTTGAGACTCCACCCGTTAAGCTATACCCATTGACATGCAGCAGTTTTTCCATGTTTCGTGCTGCAGACCCTCGCCTCTGGGGTTACCAGTGGCAAATCAGGTCCACATTGATGACACATACCGCCGCGAGTTTTGCTGATGTTTTTGAGTTCACCGGTGAATCCAACGAGATAATAAAAGATGGCATTGAGTAAGATGGATGTCGAAGATTTGACATTGACCGATGACACCTTTTCAGCACTTCAAAAGTGTGCTGCTTCGCGGGGGTAGCGCAGTTCTGTACCAATTTTCCTGTGCCGGGCAATGGATGGGCATTCATTGCCCAGGCTGGCCAGATTTCAGGCTCTAAGCAGCTTTCTGCATTTGAGCTCTCCAGAGAGCGCCATGCGTCCTGTTGATCAAAACTGTTCAGGACAATCAAGCTCACAGTGTTTTCAACAGGTGTCAAGCAGATAGAACAAAATATCCATATACTGAACTGGCCACATGGGATTGTGTCAATCTGTGAAGTTTGAGCTTGCATGGAAAATTTGGGGGACGATCCCAATCTCAAGGGCTTTTTTTGATTTCACAGGCTTCTGGACTGATAATTGGACAAGGTTTGCTTTCATTTTTGAGAGCTCCAGGAAGTGAATCCAAGCTTGGAGATTTGCCGATTCCAAGCGGACCCAGAAGGGGTGGCAAGCTCGTTTTCAACAGGTGCCAAGTAGATGGAAACATATCCGGCCACGTGTGATTGTTTTTTGTTTGAGCTTGCATGGAAGACTTGGGGACGATCCTAGCCTCAACCCCTCGTTTTGATATGTTTTGATTGTGTGAATTTAGAGTGCTCTTTGTTTTCATGTTTGGTGCCTGATGTGGAAAAAGAGTGTCTTTTTGCGAGAGTGAGTCGCGTAGCTCTTTTTGAGGTTCAAGGACTTCTATAGAGCGTTGTTTTGAGGTGCAAGTCTCGGGTGCATCACGACCAAATCGATGGTTTCGGTCGGGTCTGTGACCTGGTGGGTTCAGAATGGCAAGATGTTCTTGATCACCTTCTGAGATTTTGTCCATCACTGACTCACATTCAGAAGAGAAACCTTCGAGTTTGGTCACACCATCACGGCAGTGGTGTTCATCTTTTTACAATTTGTTCCAATCACTCCACTGGGACGTCGCCCTGCGCGCAATTGGGCAACGCCCGCCCAAGTGTGCGCAAAGTCGGTCTGTTGGGGAGAAAAACATAGCGATTCTCATGTTGTAGAAGCGGTCGGGGGCACGACTGTGGCAGATTGAAACACTCGAAATTGAAAAGACATGGGCCATTTGGCTCAGCATGCGTCCCTTGGATCACTGATCATGTGGTCATGGCAGACTTCCTTGCCGTAGTGCCAAAGGTACAACCCAAGGAACCACTGTCAGCTTGGGACCATGATGCCCAACCGAGGTCCGACAAGGGCTGTGTTTTTGGGTCGGTCGTTCATGCTGATGTCGGATGTCGGTGCACACGTTGGTGGTTCGTCTTGTGGCCCAGTTACTCCAGAAGACATGTTTTCTTCAATGTAAATAGTGCATTCCACTTGTTTGTTTTACATGACAGTCCAGAGTCCAAAGCAAAAACCACTTGGAATCCCTCGCCTTCACTTCCTCCAAATCGCTCAAAAGCGGCTAGGACCTCAACCATGTCCGGAACGAGTGGAATAGGCTCTGCGAGCCACTCGCCCACTGCAAGTCCAAGGATTGCCCAAAGTTCTCGGGATGACGTGGTCGAGTGCCAAGTCCGAACATTGTCCGACTCTGATTTGGCGCTTTTGATGCCACAAGTGCTCGGCCACCCTAGACCGGAAGCTATCCGGATCAGTGACCAAAAGGACAACATGCTATCTGTCCCTGGTAGTGTCATTCTGAAGATCTCGGAAGAGGACGAAGCTTCAGATGAGCACAGCGAGCAGAGTCACCAGACGGGTCCGATGACCAGAGTCACCAGGTCCGCGCCGATGCAGCACCTGAGCCCAAAGCCGATTTCGGCTGGCCCCGCTGCGGATGTGAACATCCCCGAAGTGAAGCTATCTGGTCTCATGCCTTCATATGGAGCTAGTGCACGCTCACTGGGAACCTGGGGGCAGAGGCAAATCAGCCACAACTCACAGCTAGCCTCACCGGTGGGAACTTTAGGGCAAAGGCAAATCAGCCACAACTCGCAGACTCCTGAGTTCATGTGTATATTAATGTTTTTGTTTTTACATGTTTGACAGAGAGCGCTTGTTTGACTAAGGACGATGTTTGTTTGTTTGTTTGTTTGTTTGATTGTTTGTGTTTAATATTGCTTAATTTAGTACAGTAATTTTTAAGAAGTGTATGCTCGCTACATAATATCGAAGTGGCTTTGTGTTACTTGCTGCAACAAAACCACATATGATATGTAATTGTTTATGGCGTTCCGGTGGTTTTTCTATGTTTGCCCATTTGCGGTCATTCTTTGGAGAGCAGATGCTTCCGGGTCAGATCCGTCACTCCTTGATTCTTCGCATAGATCTCGTGGGGGGGGTGCAGTGTGCGTGCAGTGTTCGCAGCAAGGATCCGAACGAGCACCTATGCGGTGTCCAAGACTCTGAAGAGCAAAGCAGATTCCAGTGACAGGATCAGCTTTCAAGAAGGAGTGTCCTGGCGGCTTCAGGAGTGTCGTTTCGTGTGTGGGGCTCCAGTGCTGAGCCCCCCACAGGAGCGGAGGGTTCCAGCGCTCGCCCCACGATGCTGTCGACCATCACTTAGGTTGAGCCTTCAATGCAAATGTATTTGGCGGACCATTGTATAGATGGTCTTGGTTCAGCTTCGCGTTGGAAGACTTCCCTGACCGTGATGATTGGCACCCTGTTGCTCCTGCCCATCCTCTCCTTTTCCGTCCTACTGGTGCCATTGGCTCCACCTGAAAAAGGCTTCCATGCAAATTGGGTCTTCAACTATCTGGTGCACCCGGTGCTCAATTACGTGGTGTGCCGTGCAGAGTTAGAGGTTGGCATCCGACGCCCACTGGCAGTCTGGGACCGACAGCGTGTGTGCTGGATCGTGCAGTGGGTTCCACTCGTGGGCTGCTTGGTGGCTCGCTGCAAGAACAATCTCCGAGATCTTCGTTGTATTTTGGGAGGGGTGCTGCAGTTCTGACCGAGAGTCTCCTTTAGTTGGGTCAAGAAGAGTCCAGAAAGAGGGAAAGAAAGAGGGTCAAACATGGAAAGGTTTATTCTATATTTTAAAAGAACAGACAATGCAAAGAGAGGAATATATAATATTATATAGCAACAAAGAAAAGGAATCTAAGGTTTTGTCAATCTCATTGTTTGATGGGCTCTTTAGGTCTCCTTGCAAATGTTGAGACTTGACCCCAAAACCCTTATCTCTTGGTTTTGGTTGAACATGCTGAGTCGAAGGTTTCAGCAAAAGGAGCTGGTCCACTTGGGAGCCATGACATGCAGAATTTGATCCATAAAGGACGGAAAGGAGGAAGAGTCAAAGGTCCAGAGACAAAAGAAAAGAGTAAACAAGAAGAAAGGTCTACAGGTCCAAAGAAAAGAATTATTAACATACAAAAGACAAGTCTAAAGGTATCAATTAAAATGAAAAACCAAACAACAACACAAATAGAGCGTAGGCAGTGTAGTCCAGCGACACCCTGTTAGGATGATCCAGGTAGGATGATCTAGGTATGTTCACTGCCAGTTAATTGATCCTTCTTCGGGTCAGTTACTCCCAGACCGGTTTCTTTTCCCCGGTGCCCGTGGTTCGGCGGATCGGTGGTTCTTTTCTGCCGTGCCCTCGTGGGTGCTCATACCCATTCTTCTAAAGAAACCTGTTCGGCGATTCGTGCCGCGATTCGTTGACCTTTGTGTTCCACTTGCATCCTGCCCCCCAACAAACAGCATGCCTTCGGCATCTCCATGGCCCCCGAACGCATGTGGCCCAGCAGGCGTGTCTTTTCATCCACTTTGTGGGGAGCCTATTCGGTATCTATCCGATGCCTTTTGCTGTCTCCACCAGTTGCATCCCAAGTGCCTGGGTGACCTTGTATGTGGCCAGTTCCTTGACAGCAGACGATGGTGCCCTTCTTGAAAAGCAAGATGGAAAGTAGACGCAGATGTCAAAAAAGGATAGAAAAGGGTGATTTTGTGGTGGCGGCAGTTTCTTCCGGCAGGTTACTTAGTCCCAGAAGATCTTCTAACCGCTGATTTACGGGCTTTCGTTCGCTTTGCATATATGGAACTGCTATTCTGGGCCTTGCAATTTGCAGTGCTGCTGGTATGGCTCCTCATTTTTCCCATCCTCTCAGTGCCGTTCCAATTGCTCAGCAGTGTCGTCTGGGGCCGAGCGCATCGGGAAATCGGGGGATTTGGGCTCCAACATTTGGGGAGGATCACGTACTGGTCGCCTTCGTTCGGTTTTCGTTTGAGCTACACACCTAGGCCGTCACGGGAATGTTGACTGGAGCTGGATGGGCAGTCAACAAGATAGGCCGCAGATACCTTGGAGTGCCAGAGCAATTTGGCCGCAGTGTGGCACGGGTCATGAGAGTTTGTAAGACGTTGGATATTCCAATCCAAGGCAGAAAGCATATTCAGAATGCATTGGCAAATATCGCCACACTCTCTCGAGTTGTAAACTGCACTGTGGGAAAATGACGGGTCCCGCCAATCCCCCATGCGTTGGTGGAAAATCCTGAAGATGCCTAAACGGGAAGCTCCTAAATTGAAAGTTTGGAGCCTGCCCACACTTTGAGTAAAGGCAGGAAGGTTCAGTGAAAAACCTCACAGGGCTGTCTATGTTTTCAGTGGTTTGCACTTCTTGACCAAATCTCAGGTACATCACTGAAGAAGCAAAGGTCTTTATTCTCTTCATCGCGTTTCTCTTCTCCGCCGCCCTGTTGTCCAGCGCCAAAAACGGGCTGGTTCTTGGTGTGATGCTCATCCTGGACGCAGGACAAGACGTCGGAGTCGGAGTCCAACGAGCTCATGTTCAAGTTGCGGGGCAAGGCATGGCAAGGCATGAAGTTTTGCCTACAGAGGTTGAACAGCCCTTTTTCGTCTATCCCATACGTACCACTATGGGGTCCCAGTTCAGGTTCCTCAAGCTTTCTGGGTGTATGTTGATGTCTATGTTGCGTTCCGAGAATAACTACACCCCACTGGGACCCCGATGGGTGTTGATGTTCTTCCACCTGAACTTCCTATGTTTTTGTATGCGGACTCAAGCAGCAGACCGGGTCATCGTGTGTCACCGTTGGAAAAGAATCGGAGCCCTGAACTGCTGAACTGCGTCGGGGGCAAAAGATCACTTCGACGCGCAGATCCGTGCAGATCTTGATGTGGGTGTGTATTTTCATAGAATTAGAGTGACACCCTGGCCCTGGCTGAATGGACTGATCTATTTATTTGTATACGTTTACTGACTGTAGTTTGGCTCTCCCTATTTTAATACACACCCATGTCTCAAACTCACTATTCAGCTTTGACCGTTTGGAGAAGGATGGGCTTGGAGCCACTGCGATTCACAGAGGGACGGGCTTTGTTTCTGAAACCCTCACCACTTGGGCTTGACTACTCAGTACAATTCAGTACATGTAGTCTTTAGTGTTTCAGTTTCAGGTGGGAGCAATGAGTATTTGAGTTGAAGTAGAATCCAAAGGTGATGTGCAATTGAATTTTGCTTCATTTGATTTTTGGGCACATGAAAATCACAAGCAACATTTCAAGTCAGAGAATGTGTTGAAAGGAGAGATATAGTTGGTGGAATGTTGCACTCTATGCTAAAAGTCTGGAAAAGTCCAAAGCAGCACATTTATGCGACGAATCACTCAAAACTCATTTGACCTTACTTATTCCCTTTGACCAAATGTGCCACCTCCCTCCGCAGGAAAAGCTTTGGCAATTGCTTTGAAAACCTGCCATTGTCTTATTAACCTTCTCAAAGAGCAGAAGACGGTGGAGGCAGGAGACAAACAAATATGAACACGTGCTTGACCCGAACAAAGGCTTCGAACCAGTGCGTTACTGTTTGGGAAGTTGGTCGAACTCAGGTCCAGGAAGTCGAATCAGCTACAAACCAGAGTGGGATTTCGATGATTTGGACTCATTGCCGTGCTTTACCATGTCGCATGAAAGAGAAGTGGCGACTGGCATGGCAACTTCGGAGTCAACTCAAAGAGATCCTGTCTGACTTGGCGGGAAAAACGCGAGAGAGCCTTCAAGAAAGCGAGATCAATGTGTTGGAGGCGCAGCTCATCAACGAGTTTGCACGGCATATCAAGCTGTTAGCTCTTGTTGAGCTTTGTGAGATAGCAGTTCCGTTGATGTACATGCTGGTGATGGCTTTGCTTCATAGCGAAACTTTCGGATACAACCGGCAGTACTTCCAGGTCCTCTCCACCACAGCTGGTTTTGAGGATGCTATGACTGGCAATGCGCTGAGCTTACTAATTGAAGCATTTGTCTTCATTGGGGCGCAGATTGTCTTGATGTGCTCCATGGGATTCGACTTGGTGTACTTTGCAGGACCAGACTATGGGGACTTGGGGGTTGCAGTGCAGGTTACGCATGTATTTTCAGAAAGTCACATCGTGATTCGGAGTAGGCTCTATGCTGAGGAGGAAAGTGAAAACCGCCTAATGACTGTTTGGACATCAGTTTGGCCTAATGACTGTTGATGGAAGAAATGTTGCAGCCGCGCCAAGGAAAACCGAAGCGTTTAGGGTGTTCTCCTCCAACTGTAGGAAATTGAACAATTTTGAAGATGCTTTTTGAAATCAACCAATGCTAAAACGAACAACCCGAGTGAGAATTAGACAATCATCTAGGAATAATGTTGTGAGTCTCAGCTTCTTGTGTTTCTTGCCGCATCCAACGCAGGAATTGCTGTTCGAGAGAACTATTCGTATTGGGTTTTTGCTTTGAGCACTTGTTGTGTAGCTTGGCTGACAGTGCTCATTACTCATGGTGGTCATGACTTTGACTTCATTAGAAGCCTTTTCTAGCTCCACTGGGAGCATGGGAGACAGTTATTGTAGAGTGAAGATATTCAGCCAGAGACGAGGTCTCATCAACAAATGTTTGTTGCAGTTCCTTTGTTTTATCCAATGGTCTCCTTCAACTTCAATGTGAACTTTTAATGTGTGGGAGCACGCAGAATTGCCTTCTGAGCCTGCACATGCCTGCAGGGCAAGAAAAGCATTGACAAACGCACATCGTTTGTCATGATACAAGCATTGAGCTGGGCATCAGAGATTAGGAGTGTTCGGTTTTCACGTTGCAGCTTTACGTTCAAATCACCAGCTGGGCACGATTTTTAAAATATGGAGACCGCCTTGGGAGAAGGACAACTGAACAAAACCACATCAGAATACACGCCCAACTGGGGCCACATGATTCGCAGTGTTTACCAAGTGTCTTATTTGTTCAGCCCAGCTCAGATGCTCTTCTCCTTGATCGTACATGTTTTTTATTCCTGCAACTGCAAGGAAAAATCAAAGATTGATCAAGGTCTTTTGAGACGCAGCTAGAGAGACACTGAAATTCAGAGAACTGATATTCGTGGAGTTGATTGTTTGGCCTTTGTTTCTTCAGTGGCCTCCTTTGCATGCCTTGCGAAGCAAGAACATGCTGGTGATATCTGCCTTTTGACATTTCCCAACAGGCGGAACATATTCTGTGTATTTCGATAACGCTTTGGTTTCTGGATGCAGGTATCATATCCAAATTGTTTGTTTATTCTTAATTCATCGATTTCAATATCAATTGATATTGTTTCTTGCAATAAAAATACATAATATATATATATATTTATATATTTAAATTAATATATATTTTAGATTTCTTTTAATTTAGATTATTGATAATAATCAATATAATATATTGGCACATATTTTGGAGATAATGATATATATAATATTACAATTTTAAAGGAATTCGATTGGTTTTTGGGATAAAATTGAAAAAAATAGAAAATATAAATATATATGTTTTTTTTATATTTATACAGTATAATTTGTTATATTAATATTTTAGTGAATTATTGATTTTATTCGTTTTCGTTTTATTTATAGTAATATTGGAATTCGAATGTCTCGGGTATTTTTTATTTGGTATTTCGCGACGATGTCGAAAAGGATTAGAATATATTTTTTATTGAGGTCGGTTCGAAGAATTTTAATTTTGTATATTTTATATTTGAATTTAATTTATTAATATTTCTTTATATTTATTAATATTAATATTAATTATATTAATATTAAAAAGAATTTATGTTTTAATATTTTTGTTTATTTATAAGAAGATTAATTTATTGATTATTATGAATGGAGGTAGAGGATATATATATTAAAAGAAAATAATTATTATGAAGCGATTTAATGAAATAGGAATTTAAAAAAATATATATATATAAGTATAATTTCTTGTCGATAACGATCGAACGATTAGATATTATTATTCTATAATATAAAATATGAAGAGGTATATTGGAAATTCTTACAATACAACATGGAATTATTTTTATCGATTTGAGGATGATATTTATTTAAATGGTCTTTGTTTATTCGTGTATAGTGTTAAATAATTATATTTGAAGGCATTAAATTTCGAAAAGCAAATTCTTATCGAGATTATGTATTTTATTTTAGATTAGCATTATGAAAATTGTGATTGGAATGGGGAGGGAAAATAATGATTCCCACAATCTATATGGCGATTCTAACGAACCTATGTAACCGAATACTATGGATTTGAAGATGACGATTTCTAGGACGATACCGATTATTTTGAAACCGATGATTAATGGCCTAAGGATCCCTCTAATGACTTGGTTTACGAAGATTAAAATATAGGATATTTTGGTGAGGAGTCCTGACCTGAAACATTATTGATAAGTTTTACAATACGTAGGGCTTTGCACGGGGCTATGACGTGAGGATGCACTACATGGAAGAATATTATTCCGATTTGATCGCGACATTGCCAGCAGCATTGAACATCGATAACACTCCTTTTCAATGGGAATATATTAATGCTACCACGGAAAAGAAGGACGTTATGATCTTTCCAATCCGCCTCAAGGCCAACACAAAACAAATGCATCGCAATTTGGGACACCCTTTAAATGATGCCTTGAATGAATTCTTAGTTGCACGAGGGACCTCCGAGAGCATAATGGAAGCGGCAAAGGATTGCCTGGAATGCGCCAAATACAAGAAGTCAGCCTAGGCAGCTCCGGCATCGGTATCTACCTCAGATCAATTCAATGATGTAGTGCAAATAGATGAATTATGGATCCGATGTGGCTCCACCAAATATGCCATCATATCCGTGGTTGATATTGCTATAAAATATATTGCCGCCGATTTCCTTCGTTCATCCGTGGTTTGGTCATATTATGGACTCCCGGAGGGAAGAAAAAAATATTTCCCAGGAGGGGAAATTATTTATATTGAAAATAAACAATAAATAATCATCTATGGCAAAACCCGATCATCCACCTTTTCAGGTGGTTAATGTCTTCCAAAGGGAACATTTAGAATGATTGACATTGCATCCTCTCCCCTTGGATCGCCGCCCATAACATCGACCACATTGTGGCCCAGAAGCACATGAACGCCTGGCAATCGTGGAGCGCAGATATGCGATGATCCGTCGGGCTATTGAAATCTATATGGACGACCTAAATATTGACAAGGCTGCTAACATCAAAGAAGGACCCACCTACATCGTGCCCCAATTGAATGCCACACCATCAGTGGCAGGCTTCAACCCAGCACAGTGGGTTCTCGGCTTCCAACCTAAGTATTTCTTGTTTGTTCATGCGAAGCCTCTTCTGCTGAAATATTTCGGGACTGGAGTGGCATCTGGTGCCATGGATGCTAAGGTCAAGATTGGTGAGGAATTAACCGCTAACAAAAATATATTTGGAAGATGTGATCCAAGCAGATATGAAAATACAATTAATATTGCGGGAACGAATTTGAAATTGCAAAATACAATGAAATTCCAACGATAATTTATCCATCAATAACACTTGCAATCATATTCACAATGCGGAAACCATCCAGGAATTGCAAAACATAATGCAATTCCATCAATAATACGTTCACAAAAAACAGGTGAAAATTCTAATTATAATGGAAGGACGATTCGAGCATGACGCGAGGACGTTCCGCAGAACTTGACTAGCCAGGTTCGGAACCACCCTTTGTAATGCAAACCTAGGATTAATAATTCCCCCCCTAATTAAATCAAATCCATACAACCTCGTAAATTCACCCAAATTAAAAATAATATTGGAATTCAATTCCACCCTTTTTTTAAATATTTATCATCTAGAAAACCATTCCGATTAAACCGAGCCCACAACCAGATCAATTTTTCTATTACTATTATCTATTACCACGATTACTATTACTACAACCACCACCACCTACACCACCACTACTACTACTACTACCACCCACCACCAACTACCTTTTACTTTTTGATGAAATCCAAAAAAATATCTAGAGCTCAGGGCTTATAAATTGCCTTATCAAAAGGCAACAAAAAATAGTCATTTGATAAATTCATCAAAAGTATTCCTCACAAGAGCCGGTCCCCCATCAATCATCTGCATAACTACTTCCCTATTAACTTAATCCTACGTCCCTTATTTAAATCTATTACAATTGCTACAGCCACCATTACTATTACTATTCCTATTCCGATAGTATTATTATTGCTACCATTATTAATTTAAATTATTCAGGAGAAATAGACCTCATATATCATACCTCATACATTCTAAATCTTCCATATGGAAAAAAGAATTACTTAATCCGGATATGCATTACTAAAATCATATTTTATGCGTCCATTATCCATTAAATTATGCATATTGCATAAATTGTCCTTCCAATTATTCTATAAAATAGGATTCCAAAATACATATTTTAGAATTTACCTATAATTAAAATTTAAAAGATAACTTAAAATAAATATATATATTAAACAAAAATACCTTTCAAAATGCTATTAAAAACCTAATCTAAGTTAAGGTGCTCGACGCGTTTTCGATAGCTCCGTTTTCAGTGCGTTTTGTACATTTTGGGGTCGCGTTTTCCATAGGTGCGTTCCCTATGGGGAATCTCCTTTGCGCCAAGCCAGGGAGAATGTGTGTGTAATCCTTGGAATCATAGGGATCCTTTCGGATGATTTTAGCTTCACAGTTGTTTTCCTTGTGCAGCAGGGGGCTGGAGTGTGCTTCAGATGTCTCCAGCCAACGAAGACGCATCTGTCGCACAGTGATATAGTTCTGGGACGCCAGAACTACGTACCTGCCTTTTCAAACGGAATGGCACGATGCTAAGCCCAGAACCTCACTTGCTGCAGACTTGAGCGATCGTCGTCATTTCGCCCTGTTCGTCGTCTTCGAACTTACGCTTTTGGCCTCCTTTCCTTTTAAGACCTCCAGGATTCGATGGTCCTTACTGGTTTTCTTAGGAATTGGAACCCTAGGCCGGCGTGTGGCGCCGCTTTCAGTTCAGTACACCCTATCCTAAGTGTGTTTGGCCTCGTGCCAACCCGGGATGAGCCCGCAGAGTGCCTCCCGTGGACCCGTTGAACGGGGGTACGTCGTTATCTCCCTTGCTTTGGAGATGTATGTGTCCGGAGCGGACAGCAGATGGCTTACGCCACAAGAAGTGGGATGTTTGTCTCATCTTTGGAGTTCCAAGTTGGCTCATGCCTTTACGTGACCGCAGCGGTCTAAGCAGCCAGCCGCTTTGGCAGGGCACAAGGTGACCACAGCGGTCAAAGTATTTTTGAGGTTCATTGGAACCTGTTGGGACCTTAGCCCCCTTCTCCCCCTTCCCTTCCCCCTTTCTTTCTTTGCTTCTTGGGGTTTTCCTGAATGCAACACTCAGGATCACCCCTCTCTTTCTTTGGTGTGTCCCTGGACGCTTGTTCGTAGCTGGGAACACCTGCCTTTTCGTTTTTTTTCTCTCCTCTCCCTTTCTTTCCCTCTCTCTTTCTTTCTTTCTTTCCTTCTCTCT